TACTATCACTAACTACATTTTCCTAGAGTCGAATGTGTAGAGATAACCATCGATTTGGTCTATAAATTTCTCATATAATCTGGCAATATCCTCTATCTTTTTTTTTAATGAAAATATCTTATATATTTTTTGTGACAAAATGAAATGGTTTTATTGGGTATGTGTAGTATAACCTCTAATTTCTCTTATTGTTGTGATTGAGTCATGTCAAAGTCAAACTTCTCTAATTATTTTTATTATTAGTGTCCATTTTATAGCATCAATAAACAGTCGCATGCCTTTTGAGCATTCATTTTAGAACGGAAGAAGCAATATCAATTCCTTGAATGGGAGAGGAGGGTTATCTAGATGTTTATTTTATTTTTTTGAAAATGGTATCTATATATATTCACTAAGTAATTAAATAAATTAAGTCACTATATTAAGTGATTATCATATAGAGCCTAAAACACGCGTGTATGAATGTAACAATTAATTATGTGAGTGAATTCAACATAAAAGATTAACTTACAATTACAAAAAACATCAAGAATACGGAAAAAAGTTACTCACGTTTAAAATGACTTTTTTAGTCCTTAGTTTCAAAATGATTATTCTTTTTCATTGTTAAAAAATACTCAGTTTTCCGTCTGTCCCAAAATTATTGTTCAGTTTGAGATTTTAGTTTTAGTACAAATTAAACTAGAATGAAAACCCAAAAATTGGACAATAATTATGGAACGGAGGGAGTATGATAATTAGTCTTAGACAAATAGAGTGCTAAATACCATAAATTCAACCATCACAGTGAATCACTAAAACGTGAAGATTGAAGCATAATGAAAAGCACATAACTATGATTGCTTAGTTTATCTATCACGTAAGTCTCCACCATGAAAAGGAGGGTTTAATTTAGTTACAGCTAACTTGGACTTTTAAGGATTTAATCGAAGTACTCTATTAGGGATTACTTTTAAGAATGATCGTGTGGGGTCTCTTACCCTCTCTTATTACTACTATGAATAAAACCAAGAACAAAAGTTAATTGCTAATTTGAACCCGAGTCATTAAAGTTACATATGTTCACAACAAAAAAAAAAAAAAAAAACAAACAAACAAACAAACAAACAAAACAAAAAAAAAACGAAGAGGAAGTTATATTTGTTGTACAGTTAACAATTATGTCTTTTTTTTTTTGGGACGGAAAAAATCGTACGGACGGACAAAATCATATACTATAAAAATACAAATATTCACTAAGGGATTAGTTAATTACTACATTTTTCTTGAAAGATTTTAATCGTCATAATTGACCAATCCATGACACATTTGGAGGGTGAAATGATTGAAATTATATTTTTAAGAACTCTTTTCTGAGAAAAAGTGAAACTCAAGATGATTATTATTTGTTAAACTAAGAGAACGAGCAAAGATAACCCTTTTTTTTCATATATCTTTTTGACTTGAGCAAAGATGATTATTAGTATTTGTTAAACTAAAAGGAGAAAGGTTTTTACCAGTAAGTCTTTGTTCGTGTTGCCTTGACTTACATAACACCTTAAAATGAGAAACTTTGTAATGATGGTGAAGTCCCCAAAGCTCCACGAATGATTATATACCTACGGCCTGAATGATCATTTCTCATTCAACAAATTAGCCTAATTTCGAAATTAATTATTGTTTCATATTTCAGACCACCAAAATCCAAAATAATTGAATAATGCATTCTTAACTAGAATATCTTAATTTCCTATATATGAGCAAACTACGTATTATGTCTTGAACTTGAGATCCTTCCAGACTTTTGAAATTTTGAGATCCTTCCAAACTATGTACATTTTATATTGATATGAGATTTTTTTTTGGGACAGAGAGAGTTTATTTTAAAGAGAACATTTCATTGTGGTAATCGGAAATGTACTGATTTATGTCTCTCACCAATAAAAAAAATATATAGATACCTTTCCCCCTAAAAAATAATTTTATTAATGAAAAGTAAGAGTTTCAAAAAATTTTCTGGCCATCACACTATTGTAATTAAGAAAAAATAACTTTTAAGTACTTTCTTCAAAAACATATAATGTATCAAATTGTCTTATAAAATTCGTGGTGAGGATTGCAGTATATAATATGGTCTCGACTCTCATGTGAGGGGCATGTTAGTTTTAAGTTCTTAGCCATTAAGGCAAAACCATTAAATTTATTCACAAAGTATCTAAGCTCCAGCCCAAAAACTAGAAATTCTGTACGTGCGTTATTAAACCAAACAATTCCAACTTTGTCTCAAAAGAATTAAACAAAGCAACCGCATTTAGTACACTAAATAAATTAACTCCCCCACTAATCCCTTTCCCCAATCCCATCCCAGTGCGTAGATCATACACAACATTTTCTCAATTTTCAGAGTTCCACCCAAAATTATCATATATTGCCGAATGCTCCCTGAACGATCTGACTATGACTCAATGTCATAAAGATTTTTTTTTTTCAGTGGAATATTTCCATTTTGACTACTATTAGCAAGTCAAATAATGAAATGTGAATGATTTTCATGGCTCATAGGATTCAGTGGTTGGCATTCTTTGTTCTAAAAAAAACATCTTGTTTCCTATAAATCTATCGGTGTAAGATTAGATTTCGACTTGTAAAATTCATAAATGAGTAAAGGAAAAGCATGTTAGAGCAAACTATAATAATTCAGCAGCTTGATTCGAGTGGCTTTTAAATGTATTTTGTGCTCTCATAATATCTGTTAGAAGATGGTGAATTGAGTATTATACTAGTGGTTAGAATGTTGTATTTGACTCAGATTCAGTTCATATCAGATGCGGGGCTTATCTAGACTTATCTTAAATGTGGTTTACTGGGATGAGTTTATATATATTTTACTATATTAGAAACAAAAACCATACTTAAAAGAAAGTACCACCATTTACCATGTGGCATTTCCACATCATATTTTTAAAATAAATCTTTATTTTCACATCTCCTACACTTGGCAAATGCAGTCCAAATCTACCTCGACCTCCTATTTTTGCCAAAACAAAAAAAAAAAGACGGGTTCATAAAAAACCCAAATCCTCATCCCCTTCTCCACGACAATCGACTCCCTCATCAATCTCTTCTCCACAATAAAAATAAATAAATAAATTTCTCATCAATCATCAATTGAGAATATGTGGTGAAATATACTCATTTTCTATTAGCATGTTCAATCTTTTCATTAGTGATGATTAACTACATCCTGATCAGATAAAATTTCGACTTCAAAAAATATTCTCTTTACCTTTCTATAGAAACACAAAGGAAAAAAAAAAAATTCTCATTGATCTTGCTTCGGCCGTTGTGGTGGTACAATTACAGGTATTAAAATTTAAATGATTTTATTTCCACAGATCATTTGTTTGGCTTTTATTATTTTTTGTTTTTCTCGTTCAAGAATAGTGTTATTACTATTATTTTTATGCGTCTATCCGTTACAGCTACCGTAGCCGTTATCAGGTAATATGATGTGGTTTCTTATATAGTTAGTTAGCCTAGAAGTTTTGTATGATTTTAGTTCTGTTTGGATTGAATTGATTAATTGAGTTTTTATTACAAAGTGTGGTTTTTTAAATTTCTTTTTAATATTTCATTCAATTGGAGTGGTTTTGTTTTTTTAATTATGGAGTCTCAGTTCTTTTTTTGTATATGGTCAGTTACGAAGTGTGTTTTTTCTTTGTTTAATTATTTTTTATTTTGTTTCATACTCCCAGTTGACCAATTATTATTATTATTATTTTATTTTATTTGCAAATAAAGCGGTTTTTTTTTTTGTGTTCGGGCTTTCAATAATATACTTTTTGAATTTTAGTTTTTGGACTTTTTAGTTTCTCATCATCTAAATAGTTCAGGTCGCTTCTTGTAACTAATTTCTGAGGAAGCCTTTTATGAATTTGAGGCAGAGAGGGAAAGAATGGTGTTTCTACGTTTATTTGTATTTTTATACAACATTTTTACCTACAGAAAAAAAATAAATTTCTCAATTTTAAATGGGCTATCTTTTACTTTCTTTTTTTTTTATTTGCCATGGTGAGGTGAGTTCTTTTTTGGTATAACTTGAAACCTATGTAAATTTACATTATTTTCATTCTCATATTTGTGATCAACCAATTTCATCAATTAGCCAGTTTCAAAATCATATTTTTAATATTTTACTACTTATAAACTTTTGGAAGAAATAGTTTCACCAATTAAGCGTATACCCTTGGGAGGAAACTTACTACAAAGCTATTATAAATCTCCAAAACTATGTATTGATTTGGCACAACCAGAGAACATCAATAAATTATCTTACTAATATTTAAACTTATTAGGATGCTTTTATATTTTGTCTAGCATTTAATTCAAGACATATATTTGATCTAGTTTATTTGTATTTAAGAAGTGACACTTGTAAAAAATTTCTAAAATCTTCAAATATTTCTAAAACGTACCGGGTCAAATACAATTTCTTTTTATGCCAAATACAAACATTTCTATGATCACACTTATAAAATATTTCTAAATTTTTCAAACATTTCTAAAATATATCGGGCCAAATACAAAATATTTTTTTTCCAGATACAAACATTTCTAAGATGTACAGATATATTGGGTCAGGGTCGCGCATTGTGCGACCAGATATCACTAGTATATATATATATATATATATATATATATATATATAAGAAAATATCTTTTGGAAGATTAGATAGCACATATGTTAATCGTTAACATCATCAGTGAGCTTGCCAAATGCATTACAATCATCTTAAAGGGGGCATATTTTAGAAAAACGAAAAGTGGAGGGGGATTATTTGCAATAAAATCGGAGTTTTTAACTCATCATTTGTTATTGTCAACCCCAGTCCCCACATAATTAGGAAGGAAGTGGTATTTACTGTGTACAATACTTTGTAGTTTTTCTTTTATCAGTCCTTAACCATCTTTAAAGGTTCTGTTATTACCGTTGATTTCATTCTAATTAGGCCAATGCCACCCGCCTCTGTTTCTTGTCCTAAATTTCTGTTTCAGAGAGATAAATCCAAAAGATCTTTTGGAACCCAACAATTAATCCTTCAACAAACCATTAAATAAAGAATAATTAATACCCGTTATAATTTGGTTTCTTCTTAATTTGTTTTTTTTTTTCTTTTCCCCTTTCAAGATCAGCATCTGTTACCAGTTACCACCACCATGACCTGATGACCATCATCACCACCTTTACAAAAAGTCCATCCTTTATTTTGTTTTGATTGATCCAGATTTCAGAGAAAAGCATATTGTCATCATCATTGATTTTATATTATACAATGCATTTATAAAGTTTTGTTGCTTACATGTGCCTTTTCATGTCCCTCTCTTCCCTCCTCCTCCTCCTCCTCTTCCTCTCCTTCTTTAATTAACTTCAAAGTTCAAACATTTCTTCTGTTTTCTTTCAAATTTATATCCCTTTTTATCAGTTTTGGTGTTCTAGCTTGGGATATCTAAGAATTGTTAAAGGGTCATTTTTTACAGGTTGTTTTGATCATAGACAGCTCTTTAAATTTTTGATGGGTTCTTTTTAGTTTTTAATGGTGGAGAGCAAAAGTTGGGACCTTTCTTAATGACCAGGTAAATAGTGCTAGTTCTAGATTTCATGCCCCTTTTTTGGCTTGTTTTTCTGTAATTTAATCTTTCTAGTTGTAATCCATTGAGGAGGAAAGTAAAAGTCTGTGTGTCCTAAATAAACAAAGGGGTTATCAAAAGTTGATATCAATATACAAAGAAGATTCCAATTTTGTGCAGGTTAAGTCTGTGTTGTTTGATGATCATTGGATATAAGGTTAAGGAATTCAATTCATTGGCCATGGCCAAAAAGTTTTGCAGATTGATAGATGACCCTTTTTCGTTTTTCCTAATTTCCTTCTGTTTCTTCTTTCTATCAGGGGATTGGTTTCAGGATCTTCTGGCCTTGCCGAATGAACAAATTCTTGATTTAATGTTAGCAGTTCAGTTTCTTGCATTTTTGTCCTGAGGAAAAATGCGATTGCTGATTTGGGTTTTTGAAGGAAAGAAGAAGAGGCTTTGTAAATTTATTGATTAGTAGAGGAGGTTGAGTAGAGGAAATTTTAGGCTATTGATAAATATGGAGGGAATGGCTGAACAGCAACAGACCATGACTCCCAGAAAGAAGATGACTAAACAATTAACCGGGAAACGAGATGACACTGCGTTGCATTCTGCGGCTAGAGCTGGGAATTCTAAGGCAGTTTGGGAGATTCTTGGCGAATCAACGGAAGAAGAGTTGATAGAGTTGCTTGCCAAACAAAATTCAGCTGGAGAAACGGCCTTATATGTTGCTGCAGAATATGGTTATGTAGATTTGGTCAGGGAGTTGATCAAGTACTATGATCTTGTGGCTGCTAGTATTAAGGCAAGGAATGGATTTGATGCACTTCACATAGCTGCCAAACAAGGGGATTTAGGTATGGCTTTTACCGGAAAAAGTTTGATTTTAGTCTTGTGATGTTATAGAGCTCATAGAATTAATGTCACAAACTTTGGTTTTGCTTGTTTTCAGATACTGTAAAGGCACTGATGGAGGCTCATCCAGAGCTTTCGATGACTGTTGACAATGCCAACACTACTGCTCTGCATACAGCTGCAAATCAAGGACACATTGAGGTGGTCAATTATTTGCTAGAGTTGGAGGGTAGCCTAACAACTATATCCAGAAGTAATGGGAAAACTGCCTTGCATTCTGCAGCAAGAAATGGGCATGTGCAAGTTATAAGAGCCCTTTTGAGTAAAGAGCCTAACATTGCTACACGAAATGATAAGAAAGGACAAACCGCTCTTCACATGGCTGTGAAAGGAACAAATCTTGAAGTGGTGGAGGAACTAATCAAAGCGGATCCTTCTTTGATAAATATGGTCGATACAAAGGGCAACACAGCTTTGCATATAGCAACTCGAAAAGGCAGGGCACAGGTAAAAACACAGGCTCTTTCTTGCTTGCTTAATATTGAATTTGGTTCAAATGTCTGCTGATCTCTCTAATATACTTTTGGTTTCTCATGAGTCATGATCATATAATTAGTAAGATTGATTTTTTTTTTTGGTAGCTGATCTTTGTCTAATGTAATCAAGGTTTCTCATGAGTCATGATCAATATGCACGCCCTTGGTATTTTTATTTTTTTTTATTTTTTATTTTTTGGTCGAACGCTTAGTATGTTCTTGAGTCTGTGTAGACTACAATAACTTATAGAATTAAAGAGACAAAAGGTTATACCATAGATTTTGACTCCTGATAAGAAGTGATTAAGAGAACAAATTGCCTGCCTTATACTGAGTTGCAAAACAGTTCACTGGAATAAAAGTATACAACATGCAGCCAAAACATCTGAACTCTGCTATTCTCAAGTGTATGAATGATCACCCTCTGATCTCACTGAAATCTGTTCTTGTTTAGATTTTATTTTATTTTTTAAAAAAACCTGTTCTTGTTAAGCCTTCTTATTTTGTTATTTTGTTCAGTGGAAGAAAAATTGTTCAAGATCCTTTTGAAGTTTTGGAAGAAAAGGTTTTACTGTATTACAAGTGATTCACATAATGTATCTTGCTTCTTCAGATTGTTCGGTCGCTGCTGGCAGATGAGAAAATTGAAACTACAGCAGTAAATAGGTCTAACGAAACAGCCCTAGACACTGCCGAGAAAACAGGTCAGGCTGAAATAGCAGCCATTCTGCAAGAGCATGGAGTTCAGAGTTTTCGGACTCTCAGGCCACAACAAACAAATCCAGCTAGGGAATTGAAGCAAACCGTGAGCGACATAAAACATGAAGTTCATTATCAGTTAGAACACCATCGGCAAACCAGAAAAGGCATGCAAGGAATAGCCAAGCGCCTTAACAAGATGCACGTTGAAGGCCTAAACAATGCAATCAATTCCACCACGGTCGTAGCTGTGCTGATTGCCACAGTTGCATTTGCAGCCATTTTTACCGTACCAGGACAATACGCAGATGACCCAAACAACATCCCAGATGACCTTTCCCTAGGAGAAGCTAACATTGCACCGCAAATCCCATTCATACTCTTTTTTGTCTTCGACTCAATTGCACTGTTCATTTCTCTTGCCGTTGTGGTTGTTCAAACCTCGGTGGTGATCATAGAGAGCAAGGCTAAGAAGCAGATGATGGCGGTCATAAACAAGCTCATGTGGCTAGCTTGTGTGCTAATTTCAGTGGCATTTTTGGCGTTATCATTTGTTGTTGTTGGTCAGCATGAGAGATGGCTGGCAATTGGGGTGACAATCATAGGAACAACCATATTGGCTACCACATTAGGGACAATGTGTTACTGGGTGATCATGCACAGGATAGAGACTTCCAACCAGAAAAGCCTTAGGAAGAACTCTCAGGCTAGCAGATCAAGATCATGGTCTATGTCAGTTTTGTCAGATTCAGATGTTCTACATACTGACTATAAGAAAATGTATGCAATATAAAAGAAAAAATAAACAAAAAAAGGGAAAAAAAAAAGAAAAAAAGAAAAAAAAAAGAAACGGAAATACAACTTCCTACCCCAATCATAACATATCACTTTCTTTGGGGCAATGGATGTCTTATAACTTCTACAACATCTTGTGCATAACTGAATAGGTAGTGACTTTTCTGATAGTTTCCAAACTTGGCGATATTTCTTGGAGCTGAAATTTGCCATGGTGGACGAGGTGTAGATTTTGACATGTTTCAGTAACATTATTATGACAGAGAAAGAACTGTCCCCTGCATTTAGCTGTTTTTTTCAGTTGGATCATGGATGGTTTTTGCTGCTTAGCCTCAATTTCCAATGCCTGGATCTACAACTAACTCTTTTTCCTCAACGACTTTCAACTTATGATAAAGACTTTATTGTCACAACTTGACTTAACTTGCATATAAGGAAGGGCTATAACTAACTGTAAGATCCTTGACTTGATTAGTAAACAAATGATGGCAACAAGAAGACTCAGATGAAAAAGCCATAATTCAACATTTTCGATTGTTTGTCACTTGGAACTCCAGAAACTTAAAAAAGGGAGCCAAATGGAAGACTCAAGTAGAGCATAAAGGAACAGAACACCTTGTTGGTACTACTAGTTAGTACTTACAATTTGGAAAGAGAACAACAACAAAAAAAAAAAAAAAAAAAAAAGAAAAAAGCAACCTAGATGTCGCAGGCTAAAAGCATCATTCATTCTGGAGCCATTTGTTGCAAATTGATGAATCATTGGTGCTCCCTGAAAAAACTCCCTCAAAACCACTTAAAAGATCAATATACTCTCCCTCCTAGACATCAGCATAGTACAAAGCGGTTAGAAAACGAGCGACTTCCTTTGCATCAGCAGCTGAGTCTGTTGCATAAAGAACTCCTGGATTGCATGAAGCAGGAGGAGCAACTGAGACTTTTCACTCTTCAGGGAAGCAACAGCAGCAGCAAAGTAATTCTTCTTCTTAAGAACTTCCTTTGAGAAAAAACCACTTCTTAATGCCATCAAGGAAAGCCGCATAGAGAGCAGTCATTACTTCCAGGGGACTCCTTTTCTCAATACAATCAGATACTGATGCAAATGTGGCCTTCAATATTTGGTTCTCAGTGACTCTTTTTCTTTACAATTCCTTTTAAATCCTCAAGAACCTTCTTCACAAGAAGTCGTCTTCATATTTTTCCTTCAACCTTTTCCTGTCCTCATGATCAGCAGCATACTCTTCCTTCTGTCTAATGCTAGTTCAAATGTCATACTCCATAACAGTACTAATGAATGTGAAGCAAATGAATGACAATTAAAACCATGATAATTAAGTTGAAACTTGAAACTCTAAATGACATTTGAGTATGAAGCTGAGATTTACTGCAGAAATTTGTGACAATTATCTCTACCATTTACGTATTAATGATAATGAAAATATTAAAAGATTTAAAACAAAAATAAAGTACATTGCTCACCTAAAGAAATTACATTGTTGGTAATTGCAAAAGAAAAATTAAAAAAGATGTTCTCACTTTTTGATTTATTTTTGTTTAATTTTTAACTTTTAAATTTCTTAAATATTGCAGTAATTTCATTTATTCAAAATCAGTTCATCTTCTTCCATTTTCCCTTATTTCAAAATCTCTAAAAATTTCCTGGAAGCAAAGAAGAAAATAGATTGGTTTCGTAAACATCAAAAACAATAACTAACAAATTAAGGTACATGATTCATTAAAAAAAAATAATCAATTTTCATCAATTTTTTTGGCAAGAATTTGAAATTGCATTAGTACGAAAAAAAAAATCAGCTAGGGAGAGAGAGGGAAAAAGAAAGATAGAGAGAAATTAGGAGAAGATTTCTAATTAAATTATATACCTTAAATAGTTACAGGTTGCCTATAAAAATTTTCTTATTATTTTTCTCAATTAAGGTAAATTCTATGGTTGTGATTAACTTAAATTGATTTAATGGTTATTAATCAAGGGAGAATTATCATTAAGGGCATGAGAAAAATTAAAATTATTAAAAAGGACATGCCATTTATTATTACAAGGAAAACAACTTTTATTGTTAGTTTAATTACTTAAAAGACTATTCTATTCCTCTCATTAAACAAACAATTCCCTCATGTAATTAAATTAAGTTTTCAAGTGATAATTTTCTCCACCTCTCACCGAGATGTCCTCCTTTACGCCGGTGCTGTGCCTCCATTTAACACACAATTGGAATCTGATTTGTTTGATTAAAATTATGTTATTTTAGAAATATGTTTAATTCTTTTTTTACTTTTGTCAACAAAGTTTGTTCCGTTTTTTTTTTTTTGCAAGTTAGTTCAAAAGCAGAAGTGGGGAGTTTTTTTCCCTGTTTTTATTTTGGGTAACATTGAATTTAGTTGGTGCTGAACAAGGTGTTGAAAAGAAGGGTTTTGATGAGTATGAGAGCATTGTATCTTATGGGCTGCAGGGGGGGAAATTCAGAATAATAAATTTATGCAGTTATGGAGAATTGGTAAGTTGAGATAAAAAGAAGTTTTAAAAAAATGGGGCAAAAAGCCACCTAAAAAATTCAATTACATGAGTTGGTAGGGTGAAATAGTCTTTTTTTTTTTATTTAAAGAAACATTAAAAGTGTTTTTAAAGCTGATAAAAAAAATCTATGTCCTTAATAATAAACTTTATTTTTCCAATTCCGTTAATGATAATTCTCCCATTAATCAAATAACATGACCATACCCTCAAATTTGTGAACGGGACTGTAGCTTTACCCATTACAATTACATCAATCCCTTTTACGGCTGATAATTCATTCTTAATTTCTGCCCTCTTATGCAATAAAAAATTTCTGGCGAAGGCCGGAGCAAAGGATGCTGGTCCAAGATATCCTCTTGGATGTTGAGAGTTTTCTTGAATTCTCGCCGCCACTCTTTTTTGTTATGTGGAATTCATGATTCTCCCTTAATTTTCACATTTTCTACTTAATACATTGAATCGTCAAAATGATGAAGAAGCTAAGCATAAGTGGCTCTAACCCTATATTTATTTGAAGGTATTATGTTCTCAATTTGTGTTGTGCTCATAGTCACAACTCACAAGTAGTTCCTATTGGCCTCTCTTCTTCGCTACATCAGGCGCAGCCTCCTCATGACATTTGAGGATGTCATACTACTCTTTTGTCTTTATCAAAAAAAAAACCTCTCTACTGAGGTATTTGAATGTAGCAATTCCAGTAAAAAGAGTAGAGCAAGAGAGAGAACTATAGTCAATCACACTTATCATAATCTAATCTCTCTACTCCGTATTCAATCAAGCCGCCTGCAGGTTTACCAAGACTCTCTCTTGAAAAGAAGTGCTTGATAAATGCTTTTGTTTTTCTGTGAATGATATTATGATCTTCATTCTGTTTCCATTATACATTTGAGTTTTTCAGAATACAAATTGCACATGTTGAGAGAGACACGGAGAAGGCAAGGCAAATTCATCAACCAACCTCGGAAAGGATGAGCTTTTGCAACAACTTTAAAGTCAGTAGATCGAAAATAAAAATAAATTTATTTTTTTTAAGAAATATACAACTCTAAAGATTCACCAAAACTATAAAGCTTTTTCCAAAATCTTAGAAATGTTTTTCTTCCAAAATCATTTACCTTTAAAGATTCATAAAATAATCCTTCAAAAATATATATATATATATATATACTAATCAACATAAACACAACTAGCGCACCGCGCTGGGTAAGAACTATGTATCAAACGTTGTTCATCCTCCATCAAATTGTTCAGCCTACGTTTACATTTTCAACTTATATCCTCGAGTCCCCTCGGTAACACAGTGTGGAACGGAATGTTCCCTATTCTTTTTTATTAACAAAAATTTTATTAGAGATTTTAAATTTAAGACTCACTGGTACGCCTTGTTTTATGTTGTAATCTAAATCGTTACATCGGCTTTTATTTCAAAAACATTCTTCGTGTATACCTAATTAATTATTTTAGATTTTGAATATTATATTATTATTATTATTATTTAGGAAATTCTATGGTCCAGTCACAAGTTTTTTATTGAACCATCCAGTCAAATTCTATCCAATGAAAATTGAGATGTATAATATGATTATAGGGTGAGATGTATTTTATTAATTCCCACTTAAATAACTAACATGCTAATCACTTATCAGTATAATTTTTAAAAAGAATAAACTTATCAAGATAAATTCAAAATTAATTATCAATCATCGAGTTTGATCTTGTCATCAATTTTGCACAACAAAAAAATTTCATTGTAACCTAAAAGATTTAATAAAATATCCATTTAATTATAACATAATTCCAAATGAACAGAGAGTCTCTTACAATAATTAAGGACTCTATTTAAAAAATTATGACTCCATGTTCGTCTTTTTCTTCTTGTTGTTCTTCTTGCGCTGCTATATCTTGTGGGCACCCATGTCCTCTCTTCTTCCCATAACATATTAATTGGGATTTTATTTAATTTTTAATTTTTAATTCAAATTCATAATAAATCAATCGTACTGATGATTTGAGTGGAACTAGCTCACATCCATCAATTGATAGAATGGACAACCCATACCTTAAAATAGACTCTAATATATCAATTGAAGTGAAGAAATTGGATTGAAAATGTTCTCGGTTCTGAGTTTTCTCGTCACTATATTTTGGAGGAAAAAAATTAAATATAGTCCAGTGCCGAATATTTTTCATTTCATGCTTTGACATCTTGATTTGGGTCAAGATTCAATAATTAATTAAGAAAAAAATTGATTCAGAGCGCAGCACCCTAACACCAAAAGGTTTCCTCCTTTTGTATCAAGCCCTTCACAAAACTGGTTATGAAGAGGGATGAATGGCAACTCAATTGTGATATTCCCTGGTATTGACGTCTAGATGACTAAATGGACAAAAGTAAGGATTAAATTTAATTGAACTCGTTGTAGCCTCCGACACCAAAAAAATTCAATGTTCACCGAAGGTCTGTAACTAAAAGAGCAGAGTTGAGTATTAAAAAAAATAAAAAATAAAAAATAAAAAATCAGAGTCAAGAAAGCTCTTTATTTGACATTGTCGATAAATGTTTGAAACAATACATAGTATTTGATGGTTTTAGATTCTTTTAAGGTAGCAACTGATTTGTGAAGTCAATCAAGTGTTTGATGTTTTAGATTCTTTAATGGTACATCCTATTTAATCCAACGTTAATGGTTGGTTTTTATAATCCAACGGTTAATATTATATGACTGAACCATTCAGTCGACTGGATTGTAGCCACTCTCTTATTATTTTTAAGTATAATGAAAGTATTAGTACTAGCTGTAATGACACGAATGATCCAAAATTCACTCTAGGAAGCTCTTGAAGCTGACAAAGTACAAACCCTAATCAGGGTCATAACTTAAGAGGTTTTAGGCCAAGAGATGCACGAAGCCTATTTGCTTCTGAAATCTCAGGATCTGGATGGTCAGTCCCATCATCCTTCTTTTCCTTCTTTTCTTTCTTCTTCTTCTTAGTTTCATCCCTACTACTAGGGCTAGCATGTCTTCGGTGTCGGTTATCCTTACCATCTCTACTTCTACTTCTACTTCTTGAGTGTCTTCTTAGCTCCCTCTCGCGCTTATATTCCCTATCTCCTCTATGGTGATGTTGGTGGCGATCACGATCCAGCTCTTGTTTTCTTTCACTGTCTCTATCATAGTCCCGATGCTTGTATTTATTATGACTATGGTCCCGCCTTCTTCTATCTCGATCTCTCTCCCGAACATAATCCTTAGCAATATCTAAGCAATTTTCGGATTGATGATCATCTTCATCCTTTTGTAATTCCTCATCAAAATCATCTTCAAGGGCGCTTCTCCTTGGTTCTAACGAACCTAAACATTCAAGAGTCCATCTTTTCTTAATAGGCGGTAACACAATATCACACGAATAATCTTTCGTCAAAAGTTCATCAACGAACACATCCACGCGGGTCAGGGCGAATTTCCCGTCGGCTAATTTCTGCCTCAGCTTCCTGAAGTCATTATACAAGGGCTCCAAATAACGATACACGTCAACATCGGTTCCGGTCAATCTCAAATAAAACGCCCCAAGCACTCGAACGTATTTGTACTGTTCTTCCTTGATGAATTCGACGACGATTTCTTTCTCGGGTTGGATCTGAAGCATCTTGGTGACGAGACACATGAAAGGGGTAGGGTTTCGGGTGCCGCCTCCGACGTGGTCGAGCTCCATGGCTTTGTCGACTAGGGTTTCGGCTGTGAGACCGAAGCATTGTTGTTTCCAGTAAGTGTTCTGGTAAATCTTGGTCCGGAGAATCTTCTCCACCAGATTTTGTGGGTCGGTTCCCCTTATGCTCTTCGCCCTCGGGTCGGTTCGATTCGCCATCTATCCACCAGAGAGGTTTGTTTTTCTGAGAGAAAACGAAACTATATATGGACCCTTCAACTACAACAATGGTACTAATCCAAGAGTAATAATATAGCCAACAAAAAAGTCTTATACCTGATGGACATTGGGAATAGGAAACTTCTTAGATCCAAATCCAAATGACATAAGAGATAGCCTAGATAGCTAATTGAACCAGTTTCAATTTGGAAATAGGCTCTTGACGACTATTACTTTTTCCAATTTTGCGATTCAAATTATTTTTCAACATCAAAATACTCCCTCTGTCCATAATTATTGTCCAGTTTGGGTTCTTGCTTTTAGTATAATTTGTACTAAAAATGAAAACTCAAAGTGGACAATAATTTTGGGACGGAGGGAGTATAAAACAATCAGAACGGCAAATTGACTAATTGAAAAATATTCGGATGAAGAGTAACTACTAATTGTATAGTTGATCTTACTTGCTAGAATGTTTTTAACGAGTCGTATCTAATTTCCACATGGAAAAAAAAAAATCAACTATCTATAATAACAAAAGACTTGAAAAATGTAATTAATCCTGTGTACTAGTATTTCAAATCTATACCAGTTCCTCCATAGAGTTAACTTAGCATCACAGAGACACAGACATGTTTCTCAAATCGCCGTTTAGTTGGACTAGTGTAGAGGTTAATGAACCCAGATTTTCTCTAACGATCTAAATTTTGGTAGAAGAAATGCAATACAATTTTCATATGTCGGAATTATTGTTGAGTTTTTGTTAAAAACATGCGTTCAAAATATAATTGGTAATCTTCTTCAAATAACTATAAAAGATACTAAACGTAAGTAAAGTAACTTTACAGGAAATATAGCTAAACGTAATTCAAAAATGAATTTAGAAGAAAACATTATAAAGAGGAACAACCTAATCAAAAGACAACCCTTCAAACTGAAAAGCGGTTACCAAACACACTCTTCGTTTGATGGGAAGCAGCAGTGATAAAATACTCGCTTGCCAGCGTGATTGATCCGATGCACAAACTTCTTGAAATCTTTGAGAGCAAAATGGAACTGAATAAGCATGTGGGAAAATGCTTGTATTGGTGAAGAAGTGGTTCTGGAATTAGAAATCTTTGGTTTTATCTCCTTGAAGCATGCAGTTACTCCCTTCGATACTTAATATAACGTATTTTGATTTGTCCTATATTTCATTTAATATGTATTTTCATGAAATATTTTTAAAGTTGTTTGTCTATTAAAAATATATATTGTGTTAAATATGTGACAAATCAAAATGCCTTATATTAAGAAGATGATGGAGTAATTGTTAGCTGTATTAACGCACTCTATTCGCCATCGTGCGCTAGGCAAGGTGGTTTGGGTTAACTGAGTTGATTTTAACATAATTACAAAAAAAAACTCCTTACAGAGAAGACAAGTGGGAAAGAACGCTTATTTTACTGTCTTATAGACAAAAAATAAAATAAAAATCAAACACTTAGCGTACAATTCCCCTAAATGAAAGAAAGCTTATTTAACTGTTTTATAGACAAAAAATCAAACACTTAGCATACAATTCCCCCTAAATGAATTTGTTACTAATGACTATATTGTGCAGTGACAACACCTCTACCCCCAAAGAATTACAGCTCAGTTGCACCATCAAACTAAACAATCAGAAGCACTACGTTTAAGCACAATGTCATGTTCGGACTGAAACAGTACAAAAGAAAAACAAAAAGCTTTAATCAATTCGGTCACCAGATATGTAAAACCTACAGAACAAGAAGTCTAGAACAACGTCATGAGTACATAGCTGATGATAGCCCCAAAGCTCACAATATAATTTAAATCGAATTAGACATCATCAGAATCCATGTCGGTTCTAGCCCGGTAACGCCTGCCTGCAGCTGTTGGTTTCTTCAGGGAGCTCTTATCAACAGAGTCCTCTATAGCTTCGTCATCATCATCATCATCCAGATAATTATCATCATTATCACAACTTCTAGCAACACTGACACAAAAAGCCTTCTTGTCCTTGACATCATCACCCTCCTCCTTAATCAATGAACTAGCACACCTTTGCGCTTTCTTTCTTGCATTAAATGTCACTGCCTGACCAAAACTTTCAGTTGCCGCCTCGTTTGAATCATCTGTTGTCGATTTCTGTTTGTTCAGCAGATTAAGGAAGTCCAGGTAGGCCTTCCTGTTAGAAGCTTCATCCATATCATCGCACGAATCTAGAGTATATCGGGTATACCTAGCCGGGTTCCTCAAGTAATCTGGAACGACAACATTTTTCGATCCTTCCAATTCCTCAGCAGCAGAACCATCTTTAGCTGGCGATGAAGATTCTTCTTCTCCGTCGAAACGAACCCGTTTCGAGGAATCGCAATCAGGAAGGCTATCCCTCTTCTTCACAATGGGTTCAGGAGGAGGAATCAGCTCTGAAATGTTTAAAGTTTTGAGCAGATGAGAAGCGGACTCTGTGTCTTCTCTGAGTCTAAGTATAGCAGCAACATGGTTGGCCCGAGGATCTCTGCACGTCAGGTGTTTGATTTTAGTCGGCAGCGGATTATGATAATTCACACCAATTTCTTCTGCATCAATCAAATCCTTCATATAAATCCGATCATCATTCTTCATCTTTCCCCTGCTGCTGCCTACAGCCAGTTTATCAAATTCATCCTCTTCTTCCTCATTGTCCAGAGTGCTGTCTAAACCCATGGAGGCCCGAATTTCCCACCCTTCATCATTCATATTTTGCATCTTCGCCATCTTATTTCCGGCACCGGCTTCGATTTCGTCATCGTCCGGTTCGTCTTCGTCGTCATCGTCATCGTCGTCATCGTCATCGTCGTCATCTGGGAGTTGGCCGGAATAAGAAGGCCGGTCAAGAGGGACAGTATGGAGAGGGGCGGTGGTTTTGGAGTCTCTGTTCCATTCTTTCTTCTCAATCTCTTCATCGGACAAACACCATAGAGGAGGCGGGGGGGACGCCAACGACGACGGCGGCGCATTGGTGGCTGGTGATGTGAGCGATCCGAATACCTTGTCGACCCGAACCCTGAAACTCTCTTCCATTGTTTTAATTTACAGAGAAACGCTCTCCAATTTGGGGATGTAAGTGATAAATTGAAACGAAGACGATATAAAGGTTAATAGAAATAAGAAAAGACAAACGCGCATAGACTTTTCTACGGATTTCCATTGTTGATTCGGAATTAATTAGACCGGCGGATTTTAACTTTTAAGGGTTTTTTTTTCCCCCAATAAGAAAATTTCCAATTACGTAATCTATTCACATTCATATTAGGCTCTGTTTGGTTACATTGAATTGGGACCAAGAATTGGATTGGAGCTCTCTAATTCCAATTCTTATGTTTGGTTGCTAAAAATAAAGGTCCAAGAATTGGAATTATAATTCAAGATAGGGCTCAATTCTTTATTTTCAATTCTTTTGTGGGAGCAAATAATTAGAATCCAAATTCAAAGGACTTAAAAAAGCATGCGGGTTATAATCGGGTCGTTTCCGATTTATAACCTAAACGGGTCGCTCTATCAATTTTTGCATTTTGGCCTTTTTTTATATTTTTCTTTTATTTTTTCAGCACTATTTTTTTCTTTTTCTTTTTTTTTTTTTTTTTGCTTCGAGCACTTCCTGGCATTTTTCTTTTTATTTCTTTTTCTTCTTTTTTTTTTGTTGTGCTGTTTATCTCATTATTATTATTATTATTATTATTATTATTATTATTATTATTATTATTTCATATATATCAATTTAATAATTATCAACGAAATCAAAAGTATAGTTGTACCCAAAAAAAATTAATAACTAAATATTTTAGTTTTGGGTTAAAATTTTTAATATATGATGACATAGTAAACAACATAGCATTTTCAAAAATTTTTATAAAAATTGTTCCATATATACACCTATATTATAATATACACATATATATATATTTTAAACTATTTATGGAATTTTTTCACCAAAAATTATGTAAGTTGAGTTTTAAGTATCTATTATTTCATATATAATTATATACTAAAAATAAAAAAAATTAAGCATATATGATATACTAATATTAATCTATGTATAAATGAACCTCAATATTCATAAACATCAAAAATAATAATTTTTATGTATAGCATAATCTATGTATAGCATATATTATATAATAATTTTTTTTAAAATTTTTGATATCAATCAAAACATCAAAAATTAAAAATTTTGAAAAATAATAAAAGAGAGGAAGACAAGGATATTTTACGTGTTAGTTTTTTGTGTATTAACTGAGAATCTTAAGTATCATATTAATAATTCTTATACGTAATAATATATTTTTTTCCAACAAAAATGTGTGTACATAATAAATTACAAAATTGATATTGAAAATTAATTAAAAATAATAATTTGTTTTAACAAAAAAATTAAAAATTGTATTAGTTAAACAACCACAAAGTAGTCAAATATACATTACATAATGAATTTATTTATTTTTTTGTGTTATACATATCCATAATAAATTAAGCTTTTTTTTTTTTTAGTTTTTGACAAGAAATATAAATTGTACTAGTATTAGTTATACAATAACAAACTAATTTCAATTCTAAAGTATCCAAATTTTTATGCACCCAAACACAAGAATTGGAATTAGAACCTTAATTCTAGTAAATTTTCAAGATCTCCCAAACAAAGGAATTGAGATTGAATTACAATATTAATATCTCATTTTTAATTTAATATTATTATAATTCCAATTCAATTGCAATTCGATCTAACAACGGAGCCTTAGAGTTTTTATGTTATGATTTGGTAAGTGGCATATCCAATTGTTAGGAGGCGAGGACCAAAATACAAACCAAACTAGCTACTCAAACACAAGTTAGCACTAGCACAGCGGAAGCAATCCCAAGTCCTATCTAATTTGAAAGAATTTAGTAGGAGCGAAAAATATCAACTACACCAAGTGGAAGTAACCAAAGCAACAAGCAACAAAAAACAAAAATTACAAGAACACCAATAATTATGTGGAAAACCCCCTTCGGTGTGAAGGAGTAAAAGCCACGAGACCCAAAGGTCTATCAAATCCATTAATTACCAAAAACAACAGCAGGAGTACACACTCCCAGCAATATGAGAATGATTCGTAGCCCTTAACAACACTATCAAGGCACTAGAATCACAATAAAAGACCAATAGACCTTCAAATGTCATCAAATACAGCAGTGAATTCCGAAAAACATAACTCACAAACTAACTGTTAAAATTCAAGATCCGTCGGTCAGAATGTAGCTACAAGTGTCTTCTATCTTCACTTCAAATTTCAGAGCGATCGGACACCGTTTGCCCTGTCAACCAAGAAGAAACCGAGACTGCTGCAGATGAACCCTAAGCTGAAAAGTTCTGCTCCCTCTCTGTTTTGGTTCTGTTTTACCGTAAAATGGCAGCTCTCACATTCTGATTTTTGGCTGCATTTTACTCTCCCAAAAGCGGACTCAAAATAGGCTAACAACTCAACAAAAGTTTGGGCCAAGACATGGGCTATTTGTCCTTTGCATTGGACACATAGTTGGGAGCCCACCCAACAAATCTCTCCCCTCCCGACTATGTACAAGAAATTGCTATCTCGCCAATGACACAACAAACTTCAAACTTACATCTCGGCAAAGCATTAGTCATCATATCAGCCCCATTATCTTTCGTGTGAACTTTCTCAAGCTCAATCAACTTTTCATCCAACACATCACGTATCCAATGATACCTCACATTAATGTGCTTAGACTTAGAATGAATACTAGGATTCTTACCAAGATGAATTGCACTTTGACTATCACAAAGTAAAACATACCTCTTCTGAGAGCAGCCAAGTTCTTTCAAGAACCTCTTCAAATACAACAACTCCTTGCACGCTTCAGTAGCTGCAATGAACTCAGCTTCAGTTGTTGATAGAGCAACACACTTTTGTAACTTGGATTGCCAAGAAAAAGCCCCCCCTGCAAAAGTAGTCAATTAACTTGAAGTGGATCTTTTAGTGTCAACACATCCAGCCATGTCAGAATCAGTGTAGCCAATGAGAAATAATTCACCACCTCCAAAACAAAGTTTTGAACTTGAGATGCCACGAAGATATCTCAAAATCCACTTGCCTGCATTCCAATATTCTCTCCCAGGCTTGAAAAGAAACCTGCTCACTACACCAACTACATAAGCAATATCAGGTCTTGTACACACTATCGCATACATCAAACTATCAACAGCAGAAAAATAAGGAACATTCTTCATTTCTTCCTTTTCTTTATCAGTAGAGGGACTCTGCTCAACACTCAACTTCATATCTGTCACCAAAGAAGTACAAACAGACTTAGCCTTGTCCATTCTAAACCTTTTAAGTACCTTCTCAATGTACCTCTCTTGTGATAGCCACAACTTTCTTGCTTTTCTGTCCCTAGAAATGCTTACTCCAAGGATCTTCTTTCCTGGCCCCAAATCTTTCATATCAAAGGATTTGCTCAACTCCTGCTTCAACCTGTCAATCCTAGAAGCATTCTGACCAACAATAAGTATATCATCAACATAAAGCAATAAAATAATGAAGTCATCATGGGAGAATTTTTTAACAAACACATAATGGTCACAAGTAGTCTTCTTGTAGCCCTGCTGCCTCATCACAAACTCAAACTTCTTGTATCATTGCCTTGGAGCTTGTTTCAGACCATACAAGCTCTTCTTCAACTTACACACATAATCCTCTTTATTTTTCACCCTAAACCCTTTAGGTTGCTCCATATAAATTTTTTCATTCAAGTCACCATGAAGAAATGCGGTCTTTACATCCATTTGCTCAACCTCTAAATCAAGGCTTGCAGCTAACCCCAATATATTTTGGATTGAAGACATCCTAACAACAGGTGAAAAGATCTCTTCAAAATCAACTCCCTTCTTCTGACAGAAACCCTTCACAACCAATCTGGCCTTGTACCTTGGTTTGGAAGAATTCTCTTCTTGCTTCAGCCTGTAGACCCACTTATTCTTCAAAACTCTTTTACCCTTAGGTAATGGCACCAACTCAAAAGTGTGATTATCATACAAGGATTTCATTTCATCATCCATAGCATGAAACCGCTCCTGCTTGTCTACACCTTCCATGCTTCTTCAAAGTACTCAGGTTCTCCCCCATCAGTCAAGAGTATATACTCGTCACAGAGATACCTAGTAGAAGGTATTCTCTCCCAGGTAGACATTCTAAAAATTTCTGTCAGAAAATCTGGTTTGATATTCTGTTTTGAAGACTCGGTTCTTCTTATTTTTAAACCTTACTCTCTGAAGTCTTTTGATGAAATCCCGCTCTGTTTATTTTAGTATGCTGCTGGTTTGATGGTTTGCTAAATCAATTAAGGAGTTGTGCAAAAATGTCTCTTTAATATGGCCACTTGGTCACTTTAATTCTGAAAATTCAGAGTTTCGGATTTAAAGGATTAAAATGAAGTAACCATTTCCCTTTGGCCTTGAACCCTTTTCTGATGAAGTTTCTTCTTTCTAAACCTCTGTCCATCAAGGTAGCTTATAGACCACAAGAATGGAGACCTTTGAAATTCCATTTGAATTCGGGAAAAAAGAATAGCTTTAGTAAAGGCAAGTGTTCCTCCTGGGACTTGCATGTGATTGCCTCCCCTTTGGTATGCCTAAATGTAAAGAATGTATATTCCTTAATGGAGTCTTCCTACTTGTTATATGTTGTTGGTATTTCAATTGATTACACGAATGAATGCATGTTAATGTGCGACCAGGAATTGATTTGTTGGGATTCCTCAAGGTCATTCAATCAATAATATGATTTTGCTATGGTATTTGATCTTTGAATAATGGGTTTAGCTTAACAAAAACGTATAATTTGTCGGGATTCCTCAAGGTGATACCTTTTCGAGGTAAGGTTTAAGTGTCACATTTGATATGTTTTTATCAAAATTTGGTACCTTAACAATCTATGAGTTACAAAGTGTTGTAATTGATAAAAGTTATCTACCTTGCGACATTTTTTTGATTTGTTGGGATTTCTCAATGTCAAAATAATTAGTGAGGATCCTAGCCAACTAGGAATATCTTCCCGAATCGATTTTAAGGGTGATTGGTTTGATTAAAATAGTAAGAGCAAAATCATAACACATAATTCATATCTTATGTTTGATTCTGTTT